AATAATAATTGAACAGAAACATTCATCTATAAAATAATAATTGAACATTATTTATCTGAGGAGCAGCTTTGAGTTTAACTCCATCACTGAACTCTCATCTTGAACAAGCATGAAGGCGACAGTGGAAAGAAAAACTCCCTCATGAGGAAGAAACCTTTAGCAGAACCAGGATCAGGACAAGAGGACCATCTGCTTCGACCGGCTGGGTTTGGTAGGAACAGATACACAATGGCAGGTCAAGAATCACGTTAAGATAGAAATAGTATCAAATGAAAACTGTTCAGTTTTAACAATTCATTTAAGGACATGAGGTCAGTTTGTCCTCTAGTAGTCTAAGCTTAAAGCAGCATAACAACCCTAACTATAGGATTTATCAAACAGGAAAGTCTTAGAAACTGCCAGGTAACATCTTCAACAAGATAATGACCTTCACAGCTGGACCAGGTCCACCCTGGACCAGACCTGCATCCTGCTGGACCTCTGTCGTTCCACGACTTATTTCAGCTGCAGAGAGAAGCCTGGTTGTGCCGTGGGATCTCCAGGGTCACCGATGGTGGACAATCTCTACAAGGAGGAAGTGGAACTCTCTGGACCCCTTCAAAGGAACAACACCGAGCCGCTGGTTCTGATACGTGGACGACACTTGGGTCAAAATCCATGTGGAAGAAGTAGAAGGTTCAGCAGACACATCAACTCTGTGGACAACATCAAGTTCAGCAGAGGACGTCAACAACAAGAAGTTGCCTTTATGGACCTTTGGCTGATCGTGGACAGAGGTGGAAGCCTCAACACTGAAGTTCACAGGAAACCTGCTCACATGGGTCAGAACGTTCTGTCTTCAGAACTTTACACCACCGAGCCGGACCCGTCCCCACAAAAACTGAAGGAACAGAACCAGATACCCTATCTGGACCTTCAATCAGCAGAACAGAAGAGAAGAACAAACATCATCCCAGACTGAAGGAATTTCTCCCAACACATTTTAAACCCAGCAGGACCTTCAGACAGAGGCCGGTCCGTCGTGAGGACAGAACCCTAAACCCAGACTGAGCAGTGTCTGCAGGAATGTTCAGACCTCCACGTTGGAGAAACTAAAGAACTTCTCCACAGACGCACGACTCAGCACCAGAGAGCAGCTCTTCAGGACCACTCAGAGGTCCATCTCCACCAAAAGGACGAGGGACACTCTGAGGACCAGCAGGTCCAGATGTTGGACAGAGGACAGGTGGTCTGAGAGGAGGTGAAGGAGCCAACTAAACAGAGGAGGAGGTCCCAGAGTTCAGGTGAGCTCCGGTCCCTGCAGGTGACCCGAACATCTCTGTGAGTCTAACGAGACTCCACTGTGAGGGCGAGTAGTTCCCGTCTAACCTGCAGCTGATCTCAGAACCACCTGGACAAACGTCTTCAGCTTCAGGACACAAGTCCAGCTGTTTTTATTAGTGATCACCACCTGGATGATGAGAATCTTCACGTGAAACAACCGTCTTCAGCTCGCAGCTGCTTCACACACGCAGATTATAAACCTGTCATTAAGGTGCTGACGCCGACCACCAGAGGGAACTACGAGCCCACCGTGAGCCTCAGCCGAAGCTCAGCCGAAGCTCGTCTCAGCCGAAGCTCGTCTCTGCAGTGAAACTGTTTTATTCAACGAGTCCGTTCAGGTTTATCAACAATAAACATTTTATTAAATACATGCACATCAGCAGTACGTCTCCTGCAGAAACAGCACATGTGCAAAAGTCGTAAAT